AAGGGGAAAGTACTGACCCACAGTACTTTAGCCCAGTGATCAAGGTCAATGGTAATGGTGATATTGTTTCCCCAATGACACGATATATTGGGAACAGTGCTTTACCTCTGGTGTCTTCTCAAACACTCATAATCTTGCCTAATTATGAGAAAAGTGTCAGACGAATCCCAAATGAGGAATACTCTACAAAATAACTAACCAATATTTCTCTAAACTGTCAAGGTCATCAAAATCAAGAAATGGCTGAGAAATCCTTATAGATTGGAATAATCTAAAGAGATATGACTGGTAAATGGAATGTGGCCCCCAGGATGAGTTCTTAGAAAAAAAAGACATTAGGGATAAACCAGTGAAGTTAAAATAAACTGTAGTTAGTATGTAACTATTGATGTTAGTCCCTTCATTCTGACAAGTATACGCAGTAAGGAAAATGGTAACAATAAGGTAAGCAGAATGGGGTGTATGAGTCCACTGTTCCTTATCTTTGGAACTTTTCTGTAAATCTAAAACTATTCTAAAATTAAAAGTTTAATTCTGGTTCAACAGAATGAGAACCCAGTGGTTATGAAACACTCATTAGCCTCCACTGTTGTGGTTGTTTCTCTTGTGCTACTCCCCCTCCATACATAAAAGCCAGTTTTTTTGATCACTGCTTCCTCATATCATAGTTCAACAGCCACTCATCTATATTGATTAAAAAATAAAATAAAAAGTAGAGGAAACTCTGTGAGGTTAATGCTCTTATCTCCCATTGCCAGATGAAAAACTGTAGGTCAAATGTTATAGTTTAGATCTGTGATGCCCCTCAAAAGCTCATTGAGTTTAAAGCCTGGACTCAATGCAGTGTTCAGAGGTGGAGCCTTTGAGGAGGAACTGGATGAAGAGGGCTCTGATCTTATCAGTGGATTAATCCATTTATGAATTCACAGCTGAATGGGCTGTTGGGAGGTGGGAGAAACACCTGGGCTGTTGGGAATGCATAACAGGGAGCACAGGTTGGAAGGGTATATTTTGTTCCAGGCCACTTTCCTTTTGGGCTCTCCCTCTGCTCTGTCTCCTGGACCATGAGGAGAACAGCTGTGCCGTAACACATGCTCCCAGGCATGATGCCTTGTCTTGCCATAGGCATAAAGCAATGGGACCAAGGGACCAGGGACTGAATCCTCTGCAACACTGAGTCAAAATAAATCTTTCACTCACTCAAGTTGATTTGTCACAGCAATAGAAAGCTGATTGACACAACTTCTCAATATTATAAACTAAAAGCAAAAGAACGTAGACAAGCCCACTTCACATTTGTAAGGGCTAACCTTGCTTCCATGAAAACTATTTTATGCCAGCTGCATTAAGCTGAAGGAATTTATTTCTTTTAAATTTCTCATAATGAAGTACTTTTATTTTTGCATGCACTTTTAAATACAGGGCCACAACATTACTTTCTAAATATTTCATCTTTATTTCCATGGCAAATTTCAATGACTCAGTCCCTGTCATGTGATGATCACACTTGAATAAAATTAGCTTTGGATTTTGTCAAAGTGTTGATACTTTAATGTTCCATAAAAGAAGAAAGGACTGGCCAATGGACCTGACACCTCATAATGCCCTAACTCTTAGGCACACTCTCATTTGTGACACTCACATTTTCACTTCTGATACACAAATGGGATATTTTGGAGATGGTGACCTCAGCCTGCTCTGTAATGGGATGAGTGGGTTACATGTTAGGAGCCCTGCAGAAGGAAATGACTACATCAACATAAGGAAAAGTTCACGTACACTCTGGGTTTCTTCAGATCCTGAGACATGTAAGATCAGATGTGGCTGTGCCAAAAGCTCAACCAAACGAAATGCCCTCTGAGATATAAATGTTAACAGCATTATCTCCTGAACCAGTGTTTCCCACAGCGGGAAGCCAGCCTCTCTGGGAAAACTCCAATATCCTCCCAGGAAGCCTCAAGCAGTCCAAGACATATCCTTTTTTTTCCTCAGGACTTGCCAAAATCAGACAGTAGGATTCAACAAATATTTCTAAATACTGTATTTAATATATTGTTCCCTGTGAGAATATAAAGTGGAATTTATCCAGCAAGTAAGAAAACAGACTGCCTTCTGTGTGTGATTAGATTAGCCTGCTTGGAGACATGTTTTTCTCAATCTTGTTCTACTTACAAGTCTTATTTTCTATTCTTCTTCTGTTCTAATTTGAAGGGCAAGTGATTTCTTGAATTAGTTATTTTACCACCCTGGCCTTGTCTCAGGAAGAGCAAAGAGTCTTTTCCTCCCCTTTTATGCATCAAACTATCCCAAGGCAATCACTTAATGGCACCGTATCTTTCTTAACAGAAGGGAGGATGGATAGAAAAAGAGGAAAGTGAATATTAAGAACTTTCCCACAAAATCACAGCAGAACAGCAGCAGAGTAACAGATGGGCTAGCTCTCCTAATTCACTGGACAACAGAAACGGAACCAGATCCTAAGTCTGATTTCTCCCTTGCACCAGTAGGAAAGAAGCAAGCCAAGTTCAAGAGCCATAATCATTCCCCCCAGATACACATGTACATGGAAGGCAATGTGGCAAACTGGCACTAACCCAAAACAAATGCTTCCTTTCAAGGATCTTTGCTATTTTTATAACTAAACCCATGAAAAATCTCTTTATTTTGTAACTCTGAAACTTTGCAGGCTGGAATTTTTACATTTCTAATCTTATACCAATAGGATAGGATAAAATGAAAGGTCACTTGGTTCATCCCCCAGATCGCTTTGGGGAAAAAGAGGCTAGACATCAGAAAAGCCTCCTTTGTATGAGTTTCTGGGAGCTTAGAGGAGCATCTCCATGAAAGGTAATCATCTTCATATGAGTCCGAATCTTTCCTGCCCTGCAGTCAGACATTTCCACCTTCAGCATCTGATTTATACCCTCCATTCTCAGCACTCCAGACCATGGGTGCTGGATCCCTCCTTAATCTCCAGCCTTCAAATCCTGCCTGCCTCCCTGAAGGACACCGGCTGAACTTTAAACTGAGACTGGGTTTCAAAGCCAAACGTCCACAGAAGAAGGGTGGATCAAGCTTCCTAGAACACTTGCACGTAAGCTTTGAACTGTCCTTTACAGTTTCGTTAGTCCCATCAAGTCTTCCCAATGATTTCCACATTTGCTCTTGGCTTTCTAGACAACAGAAGTTGTCAATACCTACATGATAAGAAAAGTGTAGCCATGTGAGACAATACAGAGCAGACAAAACATATGTAAAAGTATGAAGTCTATTGTCGGTGCTAAATCTTAGTTTGCACATGCCCATATTATAGTATTTTCATATTAGCATCATTAACTCTTGACTAGTAAAGCTGTATGATACCGAATTAATTCAGCAACCTGCCACAAGGAAAGTACAAGGGCTGACAAATTTTCTGGTGTGTGTTTAAATAAAATTTACTATACTAAACGATACATTGCAATGAACTCCCCTCAAATCACTCCCCGTTGCTTCAAACACACTTATCCCAGTATTCTTGCTGCTTTCTGAAGCAGTTCTGGAAGTTCTCTTTCATGAGTGTCTGTACTAGTTGTGATCAAAATTATGGTGAATGCTGCTGCCCAGTCCCATCCAATGGAAAGGCAGGCTCATAAAAATATTAGGATGTGTCCTTATCAGCCTTATTCACTGGGTCTGACACCATGGGACTTCCGGTTCTTGTCCCAAAGTCAAAATGACTACGAAAGGTAAACATTTTGAGTCAATTCAGGACATCCAGGAAGCTACCGCAGTGCAACTAAAGACACTTCTGAAAGAGGATTTCCAGAACTGCTTCAGAAAGTGCCAAAATGATGGGATAAGTGTGTTCAAAGAATGGAGGAGTATTTTGAGGGGGAATTCATGGCAATGTATCTTTTACTGTAATAAATTTTAAAAACATTCACATATTTTGGGCGCACATCTCATATGTAGCAACATGACAGGGTTTAAACAGTGCCTGGCACACATAGGCACACAAATGCTTGTTGAATTCATCGACCCATCAGATGTCTTTGACATCTTCTGCTAAGGCATTTTCTCCGAAAGAGAAAAGAAAGAATGCTCCTTCCCTTCCCAGTCTTCACAAATATTTCTAGGGTAACACTTATAAGTGTACTTTTAAAATGTTATTTCCATGTTTGACTTTTTCTGTATTCAGTATGCAGATAATACATAAACATTAGGAAATTATTAAGAACAGAAACAAAATAAGGACAAATCACCTAGCCATCATAATAAGCATACTATTTTAAAGCAGCTGCCCAAAGTAGGTTCTCAAACCCAACAGCATGTGCTACTAGCTTTGGGAGACTAATAACTTTGTAAAAGTGAAGATATATATTGCAGTCCTTGGTAAGGTTTCCATCTTTTTTATTTATTAAGAAAAGTCAAGAGTTTTGTGCCAGTTTCCTAAAGCTCCCTCTACAAGACTGGTTCAGACTTGGTATGAGATTAAGCATGTGTTACCAACAACATAAACTTAAGATTTCATGCTTAGAAAGTCTTGGATGTCTGTGTGCTCATGAGCACACATGCACGCACATCTATGTACACACGTTCACATGTGCACACATAATCAGTGTGTCCATGTCCATGCATATTTGACACATCCTTGTGTCTGTATATGCACACTCTAACTTCAGACCTTGCATTTTTCCCATTAGTCTTAGTAAATCAACTAACACAAGTGCTTTCTTGTTTACCATCTTAGAGGAGTGATCCATGAGACAGTCTCACTACAAAGTGTCACAAAAAGAAAAGAAACCATATTTCTTTCAGATTCTTCTCCACTGAACAAGGGAGTGAGGAATCCCTCCCCTGCTTGCTGCTCAGAGCTGCCTGCTCCACGCTAAGAACAACAGCTCAGAGTGGCTCTTTGAGAGTGGGCACAGCCCACATTGCCATCATAACTGCCATCTGTGGGCAACACTAAGGTACACCAGGTCACATGTACCCGTCAGAGAACCTCGCTCATGCACCTGCTTCAACTGTGTGAGTGCAGCGCCTGGGTCCCCCTTGATTGATGTTGGTGTAACGGCTCCATGCTCTCCGGGATGAAGGAAGTGGGCTCTGCTCAAAGCAGTTTGTGGTGCTCTGCACTTCCACTTGCTGTGACCCTGGGACTAGCAATTGCAGAGGTGCACAGCATGCCTGCAGGCTCTCCTCACCCTCTCGAAGGAACCAGAAATGCTGCACCTTAAAAGAAAGCAAAACAAAACAAGAGGCTTTAAAACCAGGAAATAAGCACACAAAGGAAGCATCTGTCTTTTCTGCTCTGAACAACACTTGTGAGTCCATGACCAGGACCACCTCCAGCAGATCAGGGCTTCATTCTTTCCAGGCCTTCTTGGAGGGTTTTAATTTTTCTTGACTAAGCAAATTTGTTCTGTCTAAAATATAACAATATTCATAAAATCATTCTGACCTATAAAAAGAAAGGGAAAATGCCTATTTGAGCACATTTCACAACTGCCAACATAGTCTAAGGTATACCAAGAACAAGTTGCAGTAAACCATGCCTATGTACATAACTTTTCATCTTCTGATTTCTGACATCACACTTCTTATTTTTAAAAAAAATACTTAGGTCAGCAAAGGCAAAACCCCGAAGGGTCTTGGGAACCCCAGAATGAAACCTAGTCTGCCATATATCTTCCCAGATGAAGGATCTGAAAAGGCTCATTGGCTTTGACAACCTCCACTAGGGCTCTCTCTTCTCTCTCCTCTGCTCCTGTGAAATTTGGGGCAATAACACAATTTTTAGGGGAAAAACCAGTAAACACTGATTTGAAAAAAGAAACTCAAACAGAATATATGTGTACATTCTAGCAAAGTATATGCAAAATAATTTACCAACTAGAGGTCCAAAGATATTTGGCATTTTGAACTAGTCCACACACTTTGTTGGAGAATCTGGAAAAGTTCTACCAAAAACATAATGCTGTAAAACCTTAGAATGTGAGTAATTTGTTTTGTGCATGGTCTGTAAGATGAGCAAACATTTCTAATAGATTTTAACTTTAGAAACAAGCAATGTCTTGCAATAGGAGTAGTAGAATAGTATATGACGCTGAATGCCTCGTGATCATAACTGAGCCAATGGTTCCTCTTCTCTGCTCTCTCTCCCCCTCCCTCTCTCCCCTCCCCCTCCTTCTCTCCCTCTCCCTCTCTGGGATTGTGGGTGATCATCTCCCAAACAGCAAGAGATTATGGAAGAGATTTCATCTGCAGAGGTGGTGGAAAAGAAGGCCGAGGAATCTCTCACTTCAAGTGAGATTAGAGAGATGTGTAAAATGTGAGAAACAGCGCAAAATTTTGTAGAAAAGTACAGTATCATTTGAATAAATCTGTAGCAATATAGGAATGAATCTGTTTAATGACAACGCAATGTCACATTTCCACGAAATCCTCAAAAGGAGGCAAAAGAAAGTGTCATTGGATAGGTTCCTTGTTAAAGTTGCACAAAAGAAAAAGATTACATTGAGCCAGCAGATAGCAGTAATTCTGATAGTGACAGTGAGAGCCATCCTACATAATAACGCTCCTCTCTCTTGTCTCTCTCACAGAAGCCATGAAGGTTTTCAAAGGTAAATGCAGATTAATTTGTTTATTTTTATTTATATTTCTATTTTCTTTATTATTTTATATTATCTTTCAGTATTGCAATCATTTTTATATGAATATTTTTGGGTTGTGGAATGAATCATCAGAGTTTCCATTTCTTACAGGGAAATTCACTTTGATATACAAGTCCTTTGGATTACAATCATGTTTCTGGAACAAATTATGCTCACAACACAAGGTTTTACTGTAATTTTATTCAGTTCCATGTGAAATTATTAGTTTTGCACAATTAAAATGCTGACAATTCCAAGGGATCATCCTGAAGTCATCCTTAAATGTAAACATCCCTCAGTATTTCCAGTGAGTAGGCCGGAAGGTTTAGAACTTACAGAGAATCTTTGTTTTCTTATGCTGCACTATTACTAATGATCTTCTCTCTTTTATTATGCACCTCCTTTGCTCAGGTGAGCAATACCAGGTGAGCCAGGAATGGGAAGATACCTTGAACACTCCTGTAACCAGAGCAAGGGTAGACTCAATTTATGAATGGGTGTAACTTCATTCATAACATTTGAAAAACTACATAAACATTTAAACACTATGTTTTCTCTTTTCCTGTCTTTCTTTCTAAGAAGGATTTTCTACCCTCATGTTGAGATTTACTCACTTGAATTAGGTTTAAGGAAATATTTAAAAATAAAATTGCTTACCTATAAAATCTGGTTCAATTTGGGAACTCTGTAACAGCCAATCACAGAATATGTTTCACCTTTTACATCTATTTTCTCACACTGATCTCAGGGCTGCTTGAACATTTTTCTAGCCATTTCACTTTCTTCCAAAAAGCATTTCCCTAGACAAACAAGAGTTTCCTAGTCATTTTCAGAAGGACAGGAAGAAAATACTGCACTGTTGTCTATATTTTACCATTTTGCAACAAGAGTATGCATTCGAGTGTAATATCCACATCTAAAGAAAACTCATCTTTGCAGGAAGCAAAAACATAGGTGGAAAACTGTGTGTTCCTTAACCATGTATATAATAACCAGGAAGCCCCTGCTCCCAGCCAGGGTGGCATCTACGTGTGTGCTGGAAGATCAGACATTAGAGAGAAAAAAGGTGCCAACTGAATGTAATAATGTAGAAAAACTCCTTTGAAATTCAAAAAGTCTACATGGAAAGATAGCTGATACACCTTCAAAGCAGCATCGTGAGCCTAACAAAAACTAAAATTAATTCCAAACTTCAAGAAAATATAATAATTTATGTTTTACTCCCATTTCAATACCCACCTTCCAGGAGGACTGTAACTATCCTGAGCCCACAGGGTTATCACTGACCTGACTTTAATTGTGACTGGGATGGTGTGGGAATGAGCGAGGGAACAGAAACTATAAGAGTTTAGAGCTAAAATCACAAAGCCCTGCCACAGGTAAACAAAAACTACGAGTCTACTTAATGTAAACTGAATTATAAGATTTTTCTTCTCTTCAATTTATGCTACTCTTAAGATACCAATTTCGGCAGGATAATTCCTTTCGAAAATATTTTATACTGCATGACAAACACAGAAATGTGAGAAAACCCCACACATCTCCATCATTGTCCAAATTAAAGAAGCTCTGATCACATTTTACAATATGGTGCATGTGACACTTAAGGCTTGAGCAACTAAAAATTATAACAGCAAATGTGTGCGTAGACCCCCTCCGATACGCACATGGCTTTGTTTTAGAAATGTCAAATTTGCTGTCTCACTTAATACTCATTTGTACCTTCTCATTTTACACATGACAAACCTGAGGCTCAGAAAGCAAAGGAAGTTTCCCAAATGGATAAAGCAAGTAGTGAGGCTAAGATTCAAATTCAACCATTCCTAATCCCAAAGCCTCTACCTTCTCTCTCCTGGACTTCTGCATAGGCCAATCTGAGAAGCAACTGTGAGAATGTGAGGTGAAACTCTGGTGAACTGAAAAGCCCCTTGGGAGACAGCGCAGTTTCAGTGAAGACAGAGCTTCTGGCTTCTTTGGAAAAATTGAGCAGATTTTTAAATAAAGACTTTAAAATACCGGGAACTAGTTGTTTGAAAGCACATGCATGCATACACATATATAATAAACACCCCTCCTTAAATGGGCAAGCACAATGTATCTGAAGGACAGATCAGAGCCATCAGTTAATGTTATCTGCCCTACCCTACTGTTTCCCATTTATTATATTACCAGGAAGCCACGCTGTCATCTAAACGTTCCAGTGGCACTATTATTACGCTAGGGTTACATACACTGTACAAAGCCAAATTCTCTGTAAAATAACAAATAGTTTGGTTGGACCGAAGAGAGCCACACATTTTATTTTAGCAGCAAAAGCATCTATTTGATCACTTATTTGTTATCCGCAAATAAACAATAAAATACCATCTCAGCCCTGAAGCAGTCCAGCCTATAGCAGTAACAGCAGTCCCTGAAGTCAATTAATCCATGCTTTTCCACATCCACAAACTAGCAAAAATTTCTGAAAGGTAAATCACAAAAATAAAAACCACCTGCAGGAACCACTATCCCTATAACCTTTCTTGTCCCTCTTTCCCCTTCAAGTTTGATGATTTGGCAGTTCTGGAACTCTTCCGAGAGGCGTCAAGACTCACTGCCAGCCCCAGCTGTTCCAAGCTCAGCCCAATCTGTTCCATAGAGTTGGTTGTATTATAACAATAATGTGACTACAGTTCTCCTTTATTTGCTGCAAAGATCGTTAACTATCCCTCAGAGAGACAGAGTATTAAAAAGTGCCTGAGGCATAGTAAATGGAAATTCCTCTGTAACATAGTTCAAAAAAGATATGATGATGCCAAAAAAAAAAGCTACCTGGTGGTTTCTATAATCAGAGAAAGGGAAAGAAACAAGGGCAGGAGGGATGGAAAATCAGAAAAAGAAAAAAAACCCCAGCAGCAACAACAACAACAAAAACCGAATGTGCCTGGCAAGCATGTATAGTCATGTAAGGAGAGAATAGAGAGGAAAAACAGAAAGAAAATTTGAAATAAAGACAAAAGAACATTTAATGTGAAGTCACAGTAGTGACATGATTCAACTTGTCTGGCAGCTCAAACATTCTACTACAGAGGTATAAGTAAATTTGAAGAGAGACTAAGAACGGAGAGAATGAATTACAATCCTATACAGGAAGCATGCAATATTTCTAGACAATTTTTAGTTATTATATGAGACAGTGGATTCAATGAAACGTGTATTTAAATCATGTATCTAACTTCTCATTCATAAAAGTGAATTATAGTGTAGAGTGGGTGTGTTTCTTCACTTAATTCATGCATTCAGTTATTAAAGTCTTAACATGAGTCTCAGGTTAATCTTTTTCTCCACCCTGCCCCAATAAAGTAACATTGTGAAAGCTCCCTATGATCAGAAGCTCCCCTTCATAGAGGGTTCTTGGGGGTTATGAAGTTCATAACAATAGCATCAAAGTCAACACTTGTTCTAAGTTAACAATTGTGAATTAATCTAAACCAAATTCTAGTCAAAGATGAATAGAGAACTGAAAGCTAAATGGGAACTCTACTGGCATATTGCATCTCCTTAGGATTTATTTTCTTTGAAACTGCACAGGTAATAAAG